TTGTGTTGTAGACTTCAGAGACATGGCTGTGTTAGTCTGGAATATCAGTAAGCAAAGGGATCTAGAAGCACCTTTGAGACTAGATGTGCAAGAGAAGTTGTAGCATTAATTTTAGGCAACATCCACACTGCAACAATAATCCAGTTTGACACCACTCTAACTGCCATGGCTCAATGCTATGGATTTCAGGGAATTGTAGTTTGTTATGTCACCAAAGCTCTCTGATAGAGGAGGATAAATGTCTCACAAAACTACAGTTCCCAGGATTCCATAACATTGAACCATGGTATCAAACTGGATTATTTCTGCAGTATGGATGCAGCATAGGGCCTTTGAAGACTGGCCCAAAGGGCCAGCCTGGGAGTAGAGTTGGTACAGGCCAGCCGCACACTGGGAGCCCCAACCCTACGCTGACACCATCCTGATGCCATGCACCGTTACGCATGGCGCATGGCATCAGGACGCCCTCCCGGCACAGCGTTTAAACACGCTGCATTGAAAGGGCAAGGAAGAGGCATGGCGCCGGCTCTTAGGGCAGCCTTTTGCCGCCACTAAAAGGAGCAGCATTTTGCCACTCTTTTCAGGGTAGCAAAAGGAAGGATTGGGGCCACAGTGTGGGGTTGCCACAGCCCCAATCCACCGCTTCCTGGGGCAGCTCTGTGCTGTCCGTCTGCAGACGCCCTTAGTCTACTTCTTCAGGTGCATCTGAGGTTTACGAAAACTTATGCAACACCTTCTTTTGCACACTCAGTCTCAAAGAGTTACAAGATCCCTTTGCCTACTAGTTTCTGTTGTATTATTTTTAATGGGACTTGTATTTGCATTGTACTATTCAAAAATCCACACAGCAATAATCTTGAAAAGCTCAACACTAATGTATATTTGCAAACAAAATTACACCAATACATTTCAACAGACGGAGGGGACCAGCCAATTTTTACCCAATGGTCTTCTTATGATACTAACTGATATTCTGCTGCTGCCAATAATATTTTTTTTTCATAGACCTTGGGTACTAGGCCTATCCTTGTTTACCAAGAGCCCCTTGATTGGAAACAGTTACTCATCAGTAACAACAAGCCACATAACAGATACATAAACACAGAACAAGACCATCAGCAAGTCAGTCAGGCAAAAAGACCTGATAACATGAAGGGCTTCTTCACTTGCTCATCTCACCAAGGTGATATATGCCATCACTTACCAACAATACCTTCTGCTGCCTACAGAGGACAAAGAGGACAGTTTCCATGGGGGAAGGATACAAACCTAATCTGAAAAGTAGCAACATTCAGAAAGTGCCACGAAAATACACCTTCCAAGATTTTGTGCTGGTAAGAGCCAGAGTAGTAGTAGTGGTTTGAGTATTAAGTTTATCACATGGCACTTGCAGGAACGGGAATGGAACAGAACAGCACGGAACAAGGTAAGAATACATGTTACCACACAGGAGAATGCCGCCGATGCCTCTGGGAGTCCCCAAGCCATTCCCCAGCCGTTCCTGGCAGCCGATTTTGAAGAACGGTTCAAAATTGTTCTTCAAAATTGGCTGCCATAGCACGGATGGGAAATGGCTTGGGGACTCCTGGCAGCATCGGCGATGTTCTCCTGTGTAGTAACACACGCTCTCACCCCGTTCTGTGCCATTCTGCTCTCGTTCCTGCAAGTGCCGTGTGATAAACTTATATGATTCTGGAGAGCAGGGTTCAGTTCCCAGCTGCACTGAAATCCACTGGGTGACCTTGGGCAAGTCATACTCTCTCAGCCTCAGGGAAAGGCAGTGGCAAACCTTCTCTGAACCAATCTTGCCAGGAAAACCCCATGATAGGTCCACTTTAGGATCGCCATACATCGGAAACAACTTGAAGGCACACAAGAACAATCGTAAAATCAGTACTCTTCAAGAACAAGTAGAAAGGAAAGCCCGAGTAGCGTGAAATTGCCAAACAAGATTTTATCAGCAGGTTTGATTCTGCTTGTTAGCTTTTCATTGAGATGAGGGACTTATCGGCTCCTAGTACAGGTGGTTAAATAAGCAAAGCAGTGCTCGGAAGATAATGCTGTCACTCAATACTACTACAGCGCATGGCTTCTGTTGTCATCTTATATGTATTTGAGCATTTTATAGAAGTGCACAAAGGCCACAGTATGGTCTTCCCACCCCTGTATTTGCCAACCAAAGCATGTGTGATGTAGTGGTTTGAGTCCTGGACTAGGACTCTGGGGGACTAGGGTTTAAATCCGCACCCAGGCATGGAAATCTACTGGGTGATCTTGGGCTAGTTATACTCTCTCAGCTGAAGAGGAAGGCAATGACAAACTTCTGAATGAATCTTGCCAAGAAAATGGTATGACAGAGTCTGTGCAAAATTTAAAGACATAGCCATAGTAGTCCAGGGGGCAAAGGGATCTTGGAGACTAACTGAAAGAGAGAAGTGGTTGCATGAGCTTTCATAGATTTGAATCTACTTCCTCGGATGCGTGGAGAGTCTCCGTAAGTTGGGGTTAACTTGAAGGCACATAACAACAAAAATGACAACTAAAATTGACACTTTTTGTATTGAATAAAGCTTAAGGGAAGGTGGATTTAAAAAACAGTAGGATCTACTGTTTATTTTTAAAAGTGCAAAGTCAATATCCTGTTGGGATCTTACATATTTGTGAGAGGATATATCCCTGCTGGAATTAAAAATTGGGAAGTTCGACAACATCCACATCACTCCCATTCACGCACTGGGACACTGACTAGTGTCAGTGTTAGGTCTGCTAGTAAGGGGAGGGCCGGTGACTTTGTTGTTTGCTGTTTTGTTGCTATGTGTCTTCACGTCATTTCCAACTTATGGCAACCTTAAGGTGAACCTATCACAGGATTTTCTTGGGAACATTTGTACATAGGTTTGCCATTTCCTTCCTCTGAGGCCAAGAAAGTGTGACTTGCCCAAGGTCACCCAGTGGGTTTTCATGCACTAGCAGGGATTTGAACCCTGGTCTCCAGAGTTGTAGTTCAAACAATCAAACCACTATACTACACTGGTTCTCCAATTTTGTTGTTACTCTGCTTAATTAATTGGGAGTCAGAAATCCTTGACCATGTACTGCAACTTATCCTGAGTTTAGTGGGTTGATCCCAACTTATCTTCTTCATCCATTTGTTCTAGCTCAATTTTTCTTTCTGAATGCTATAAATTTTACTGTTTTTTGCTGTTTTACCTATAACAGCCTAAGACGCCAAGGCTATTCTCACTGATATTTAAGTTCTTATACTTCACTACAGTACCAGTAACTGGTAATAACATTTTTTCACATAACATGAAATAAACAGGGGGGAGAAGAACACCCCCATCATATCTGAAATCTAAAACTAAAGAAGATAGGAAAAAGAGAGATGAAGACCAAAATCTGCCTTTGAATCCCAGATTTTGAAGGGATCTGAGACAGAAAGAAAGAAGTTTGTAGCATAAACTTTCATAAAATCTGCTTCATCAGACTGAACCTATGAAAGTTTATGTTTCAATCCTCTTTCTCTCCAGTTAGTCTCAAAGGTGCTTCCAGATCTGTCTGACTACTGGTACAGACTAACATGACAGTCTTTGAATGCATTTACCAGATTTGAAAGTTTGCCTTCAGGAATGCCTTCAGAATCTCACCTGGACCAAAAAGAATCAGGCGCTCCATCCTTTCTCATGCTCTCCTCATGCTGATGCACACATCGACTGGGCTGCAGGAGCTGATACTTGTGATGGTGGAGAGAGAGCAGGTCATTCCCATACACCTGTACTCCATTTTTGCTGATGCCCAAGGCCATTCAACTTTTAATTTTTAAAAAATCTGAGTAAGTGCAAGGTGAAAAAGTCCAAAGAAAATGGGGGAGAGGGTTGCAAAAAAAAGTTTTAATTTTTTTTTAAAAAAACTGAATCAATGCAAAGCCAAAAATCTCTTGTTGGTCCTACCTAAAATCTACAAGGAAAATGAGCATGACAGATCCCTACCACTCCAAGTCCAAAAAAAATGGGGGAGAGGGTTGCAAAATAAACTTTTAATTTTTTAAACAAACTGAATCAATGCAAAGTAAAAAAAAAAATCTCTTGTTGGTTCTATCTAAAATCTACAAGGAAAAAGGATCCTGACTGGTTCCTACCACTCTAAATCCAAAGAAAATGGGGGAGGGTTGCAAATGAAAACATTTATTT